TAAATATTCCAAAGTAGTTCATCACTCCTTCTTCCTAGTCTGTCTTCTTCTGGAAGCTCATCTGAAACCTATCCACCGTGTCTGACCCTTCTGGCATTTAAAATATCTGTGGCATAGCTTCCAGAATCACAGCAACTCACAAGCCACCATAGTACACAAACTGACAGAGGAGTGTTGGATGATACATAGACAGTGCTTAATAAACGTTATAATAATCACAGAAACAAGAACAATAATGAAACAAACAATAGCATTAACAATGGCTGTGTTAAGATTTTCCAAAACAGAACCCCACTGAGTTTGGTAAATCAGAAGCAGAAATGAGTCTCAATAGATTTGCCAGTTTGAAAAGACTTCCAGGGTCAATTGAGGGTAAAACTACATTTCCCAGCAGGCCCCGAGACCTAGAGTCTTATTTACACTCATTTCCGAGTCTGTCATGTGACTCCCTGGCTGCACCATGGCGGAAGCAGAACAGCAGGTAAAGGGTACAACTGCAAGTTGAATGCAACAGGGATCGGAAAAAGAGGGTGATGTAAATGGGGGCTTGAAGCCTAATGTAGCGAGGTGCGGAGTTGCTGTCGGGTCGGACAGGCCCACTGCGGAGCTGGGCGGTGAAAGCTCATTTGGGGGATCTAAGGGGCCGTGTAGGATCCCTGTTTCTGGTAGGGCATCTGGGTATGGCGCTCCTGGGGGCAGCGCACCGACACGCCCGTGGCTGATCTTTTCATATGGCATGGTCTGGTGGCCGTTGCTCAGTGAGGTTTGGGTGTGAGGACCGGTTGAACTACGCCAGGGATTTACTGCCGTTGGGAAATATGAGAGCTGAGTTGAGTTTTGAGGCTGTGACTGAAATTTACCTTGCTTTGCTCTCTAAGTAGGACCGAAAGGGTTGATTTGCAGGGGCACTAGAAGCTGATGAATTTTATTCGATATCAGATATAAACACAAAGATAAACTGTTGTTGGGGTGTTGCAGTGATTAAATGCATAAGTCCTGGGGTAGATAAGCCTACACTCATTGCTGCTTTCTTGCATGTGACTTTGGGCTAATTATCTAACTCTTAATAAAGGATTGTTGTTGTTGTTGTTAAGTGCCGTTGAATCGGTTCCGACTCATAGCGACCCTGTACAGGGTTTCCGAGGGTGTAAATCTTTACGGGAGTAGAAAGCCTCATCTTTCTCCCGCGGAGCGGCTGGT